GTGCAGAAAAAAAAAAAAAAAAATGAAAAATGAGCTATTACCTTGGTGCTAACCATTGCTCCTTGCCTCTTCAGATATTTTTAGGACCAAATTGAAAACTAGTGCATACTAATTTTAATCAATTGTTATTTTTCTTCCCTCCACATATATACAAGCTCCTGTCAACCATCAAGAACCCTGTTGAGATGCATGAAGAGGGAACCCCTGCTGTCTGATCAACCCCAATCCAGCCCCCCCCCACATCAACCCTGTCCAGCAGGAAGTAGCAAGATGACAACGGTGCCCCCTATCTTATAACACAAAAGGCTGGAATGTTAGGCTTCCAAATAGCAGCTTCCCCCCTCCCCAACAGGAACCTACAAACTCTGCTGAGAAGCAGCCTGCCTTTCCTCTGACCTCCAAAGATAAAATAAGCAGATTCTAGCTGTTAACCAGAGATTTTAGAAGCTGTTTTTCTCTCATCTTAAGATGGAAAAAGTAAACACTTCCACACCCTAATCTTACCTGCTTCCCCCTCCCTGGTTTCTCCCCCAAACATTCCCCCTTCCACACCCTAAAGCCCCCATATATAAAGTCCCAGCTCACAACCCATGGGCGGACATCTTTCCCTTCCCTTCCCTGACATCCTTCCCTTCCTTTCCCTTCCCGACATCTTTCCCTGACATCTTTCCCTTCCCCAAGGGAAAGGTGCCCCGTGCGAAATAAAGCTGTATCCCGCTGAGAATTCCATCTGTGCCTCGGTGCCTTCCTCCATCTGCGCCGCTCGCTCCCGCCCGCTCTCTACCTATCAAGTTCCAGGTCAGCTGGAGCTATAGGGAGACCCTGTCTCTTTTTTTTTAAAAAAAAAAAAAAAAAAAAAAAAAAAAAAAAAAAAAGAGTGCGTGAGAGAGTTAAAGGAAAAGATTATTGTCTTCATGCTTTCATGCTTGATAGGTACCTTCTGTTTCTTAGAAATAGCGACAGACAAATTGTCTTGATAAAAGTGATTTCAAGCTGAAGGGCTTTGTGTGTGTGGGTATGTGTGTGTATGCATGCACACCTGCATATGCATTCCAGTGGGTATCTTCCTCTATCATTCTCCACCTTATTATTTGAGACATAGTCTCTCTCTGAACCTGGAGCTCAGAGTTTTGGCTGGCATGGCTTGCTAGTGAGCCTTGAGCTCAGGGCCTCTTGCTTGCATAGCAAGTGCTCCTATCCCCTGAGGCATCTCCTCATCCCCAGTAATTTTTCTCTTAAAGAAAAAAAAAATCAAAGCTATATTAAATGCCCAAAATTTCAACATGGTGTGCCAACAAGATGGTTCAGCAGGTAAAGATACTTGCCGCTGAGCCTGATGACCTGAGTTCTATCCTCAGGACCCATGTGGTGGAAAGTGAGAACTGACTCTCACAAGTTGTTGGCTGACTCCATAGGTGTGCTTGTGTTGTGATGCATGTGTACCTGCACACATGCTCATGCACATGTAATAAATAAATAAATAATAAATGAATAGATAAAATTTTAAAAAGTTTCAGCATGGAGTTAGGGAATTAATTCTAGTGTCATGATACTAAGATAGGTGCCTTGTTTTTTATTGTACATTATAGGCAAGCACTGTACTAATGAATTACACCTAAAGTCTTATTTTATTTTATTTGTTTTTGAGACAGCGTCTCATCTTATCCCAGGCAGGCCTTGAACTTGCTGTGTGGCTGAAGATGATCTTGAACTCCTGGTCTCTGATTCTCCTGCTTCTATCTCTCCAGTGCTGGGATTACTGGAGTACACCACCATAGCCAGTTTATACTTACTACCCTGGGGATTGAATCTAAGCCTTCAAGCACTTCACCAATGGAGCTATATCCCAGCTCCCTTTTTTCTTTTTCTTTGTTTTCCTTTTTGTTTTGTTTTGTTTAGACTGTGTCTCACTGCAGCCCATGCTGGCCTCAAACTCTCAAGGTAGTCAGATGACCTTGAACTTCTTATCTTCCTGCCTCTGTCTCTCAAGTGCTAAGATTACAGGTATGCACTACCACACCCAACTATGTGTATATATTTATTGGATGTATAGTATCCATATAATGGAAAATAGGCTAATAAAAAAAGTAATCAAGGGTCCAGCAAGATGGGGCTCAACAGATAAAAAGTGCTTGCCTTAACATCTGACGACCAGAGTTTAATCCCAGGAATTGATGTAAAGGTAGAAGGAGAATTTTGACTCTACAAAGTTGTCCTCTGACCTCCAATGTGTGCTGGTGGTACACATTTGTTCCAATACACATATCTCATACACACACACACACACACAAACACATGAGAATGGCTTTTATAAATGGACATAATCTGGACTAATGACTTTTAATTAACTAGTGATGGATGGTCTATTAAAATGACAATTGGAGCCAAGCTTGTATTTTCCCAACTGAAACTGAAGAAACTGCCGAGCATGGTAGTGCATGCCTTTAATCCCAGCACTTGGGAGGCAAAGGCAGGCAGATATCTGTGAGTTCAAGGCCAGCCTGGTCTACGTAGTGAGTTCCAGGCCAGCTGGGGCTACAGGGAGACCCTGTTTCCAAAAGACCCAAAAACAAGAAATTGAGGAAACCATTTTAAATAAGCTTTGAACTTCAGGACACAATTCTAGGGATGGAATTCCAGCAAGAGCTATCTAGGGGAATGAATGTCCTCTGAGTTTGGGCCCACTCTTGAAAGCTAAATTTAAAAGTCAGGGCATTTGTTCATGTAATTATGATGTTGGTATAGTACTCGTCTGTGCGCGCGCGCGCGCGCGCACACACACACATACACACACACGCACACACACACACAAATACATTTAAAAACAAACAACAAAACTAATCAAAAGTTGGTAATGCCATCCTCCATGGTGCACTCTTGTAATCCCAGCATTTGGCAGGCAGAGGCAGGAGAATCAGAAGTTCAAGGCCAGTTCTGTTATAGAGTGAGTTCAAGGCCAATCTGGGCTACATGAGACCCTGTCTTGAAAACCAACAACAAAGAATGGGGGAGATGACTCAGCAGGTAAGATTGCTTGCTGTTTAAGCAAGAGGACCTGAGTTTGGATCCCAGAACCTGTGCAAAAAACAAGCATGGCCATACAAAAGCTTCTAAATCCAACACTGTGGGGAGTGGAGTTAGGGTACTCTCTGGGCCGTGCTGGCTGACAGCCTAGCTCCGGGCTCAGTGAGAGAGCCTGTTTCAAAGGAATGAGGTGGAGAGTGAGAGAGCAGAACACATGTGTGTACACTGCATGCACATATACCACACACAAAAAAGATAAAATAAGCATACAGAATGCTTGCTGGTTATGACACAGCTAGTTGGCAGTCAAATGCATAATACCAAAAGTGGTGTATTTGGGAATTAAAAGTGAAATATATAGGTCATATTTTCTCGTTGAATATTGGAAGAGATCTTAGTACTGCAGAGACTTTAATATGCTAAGTGATAATGCCCTTTTAAAAGCAACACCTTCTTTAAGGTGCACATGAAATGCTTCATTTATTTCAAAGAGTTCCTGCTCATTTGCAAATCCTCTTGGGGCTGGGAGGAGCAGGAACATCTGACTTGTGATTGCTAAGGTGCTCTTCAGCTTCTTACTGAGTGATTGCGAAGGGGTGGTCTCCAGGGCAACCAACAGCCTTGTTAAAGTTTGTGTGGAAAGATAGAAACTCCGTCTACACTTCACTCATTTGATAGGTCACTGGAAGGTATTTACTCCTCTGACTGTTTCCCAGCTCTTTGCAGACACTTGAAGAAGGAAACGTCCATGAGAGCTCGGGGAACCCAAGCTCCATGCCAATGTAAGGGGTGAAAGAGGTTGCTATTTTGTAAGCATCTCCTGATTTTCAACTCCAGGGGCTACCAAGAAGTGACATTCTCCTGCTGTTTGTTAAATAATGTAACCCATGTTGTAAAATTTCTTCTGACCTATCAGGAGAACAGTATTTTGAGCTAATAAAAAATGGGGACTACAAATTTATTTTTCCTGACATGGGCAGTGTGCTAGAATGCTCCTTTACCATGCCACGGCAGCACATCGGTTCCCTTCACATCCTGCACCAGGCTTATTGGGATAAGGAATGCTAGTCACCATGAGCTCTTTCATTTCTACATCTTCCTCTCGTACGTCCTTGTTCTGCTCCAGCCACACCCGATGTCCCTAACGGAAACCTCCTCAAGAGAGCAACCACTGTCATTCCTTTACATTTTCTAGGCTTCCACACCTTTGCCAGTCTTTTCTATTTATTTCTCTATGGTGTCTAGAATGCAGCCCAGTGTTCCAGCCCATGGTATGAATAATACAGGCAAAAGAATTTTTCTTTTCCTGGGCCCTAAATTTCTATTAAAACGACTTAAGCTCATATTAAAGTTTTAAGCCAAAATTTTGACTCTTTTTTAAATCAAGAACAGATGGTTCAGACACTTTTACCCTTTTATCCATTCCATTTTCCTGTAACAGCTTTTCAAGATTCAACTGCAAGAATTTGATCTATTCCTTTGAGATTTCATCCTGTCAGATGCAAAACTGAAAGCACATAGAAAATATTTTTGGTCTCCAACTTCCCATTTCATGTGAAACCTGTCCTTCCTTCTCCCCTCCGCTTACCTATGCAATCCCGGAAGAGCGCTTCTGCTCCCCTCCGGTCGCTCTCCTTGTACCTCAATAGCTTGAGCTGGCTTCCTATCTTTTCACTCAAAGCAGCCTTGTCTAGAACATACTAACTTAGCTGAGCCTTACCTTACTTCACACGTCCTTGCTTTGTAGGCAGGAGATCCGCCTAAGGCGTTCTCTTAAATAGAAAAATCAAGAAACTTAGCAGTGACTGCTGCATGACTTCTAGAAAGGGGAAACACTTCCCTTCACTGTTCCTTCTGACTGTACCGAATGTGGCGGAAACAGTGTCTTCCATGTATGGAAGGACTGTTTCAGGAGAGGACAAGGAACAGCCTGTTGGAAACAGCACAGAACTTGGGGGTGTGGGTGAAGATTAATGATTAACCTGGTTCTGCGGCATGTGGGTTCTGTGACTCTGGGTATGTCACAGTTTTCTTTGGCATTAGGTTCTTCATGTAAATGTTCAAGACTCAGGAGAAACTGAAGAACTGAAACCTGAGGAGTTATGACTTGCTAAAAGCTAGCACTCTCAGTGAAGCAGGGCACAACCTAGGCACTTGTATAGCTATTTCCTCTGAACTGAAACACTTCCTCCTGCAGCTGGGAGGGAGGCTCATGGGAGGAAGCTATTGAAACTTACTGTCCTTCAACTTTGGACCAGTCCATTCCTGCCTTGTCAAGTTGTTCCAGGCTTAAGATGAATTTCAAAGCTAAAGCGTGCTGTAGTGTATCAGCCAATAACAATAGAGATGGCTTGTTTAACTAAAAGCAAGTCTACAGAGCTTATGGATTCTCTTTTTTCACAAGTCTGATGCTTGATAAATTATTTATTTTTGGATTTGAAATGGTGCCTGGTTCTTTGGACTCACAGCATCTGATTTGGCCAGCATGTCCAGTCTCTGATCTTGGGAGGTGAACATGATATGCCTGTATGGGAAAGGATGAGGGCTAGCTAGCATCAGGCATGTCAGCCTCCATCTCATAAGGTAGGGAGACCAGATCAAAAGTTCAAGGCTTTCCTGGTTACAGAGTGAGCTCAAGGCCAGCCCTGGAAAACTCAGTGAGTTCCTGTCTCAAAATAAAAAATAAATAATAAAAACTGCGGAGCAGAGAGTACCTGGAGATGTAGCTCAGTGATAGAACATCTGTCTAGTGCTTGAAGCCCAGGGTGCCTACCAGTCCCTAGTACCATCACCAAAGGAACAAATTATCAAAATTTTTAGTATTTAGATTCTGGCTGGCCAAAAAGATATACAATTGTCATCAGTGATTGTCGGGTGATTCCCCCCCC